CCCTGTTTCAGCTCAACCTTCTTTTAAGTGGGGGTGGGGGGTGGAGTCGCATATGGTGTGTCACCAAGGAAGCTACCACAGCTGCAGTTTTAGTAAGTTCACTGTGACAAGAAATCCAAGAACGCTAAAACTGTTGAAATAACACGCACGTTGCATTCTGCACTCATGGTCAGTTACGTCGTAACTCAGTAATGTCCCAAAATTTGAACGTTAAACAGCGAATGAAAATTCTGAAAGCGTACAGAATTATAACGCCTGTCGTCATAACCGGTTCTTTTTAAATTATAAATTACGCATGTCTTTTGAAAATCAGCCACGAGCACGTGATAAAATAACTCCACCCCACAAAGCATCCTTGTACCCAATCGGTAATAGTCTCCACAAATCTCTAATTAGATCACTTGGCTAATAAAATACGCTCGGTACGGAATGATTTTCTGGATATGGACACTCGTTCTCGAGTCTTTGGCTCTGTCTACTTCTTTTTATCTTGAAGTTTCATTTATACGTCTCGGCGTCTTAAAGCCGGGTCCACACTGACGCGCACTGCCGTAACATAACAGCGGAACGCGAAAATGTTGACCCAGGTTTGTACCCGAAATATTCAACACAGTAATGTCAATGAAACTGACCGACGGAATGATTTTCTGGATATGGACACTCGTTCTCGAGTCTTTGGCTCTGTCTACTTCTTTTTATCTTGAAGTTTCATTTATACGTCTCGGCGTCTTAAAGCCGGGTCCACACTGACGCGCACTGCCGTAACATAACAGCGGAACGCGAAAATGTTGACCCAGGTTTGTACCCGAAATATTCAACACAGTAATGTCAATGAAACTGACCGTGTTTCGCACCCATACCAAACAACAGGCAAAATCATTGTTTTGTATACTTTAATTTTCAGGTTCTTAGAAATTAGACGGGAAGACAAAATATTTTGAACTGAGAAGTAGCAAGCATTTCCATAATTTAATCTCCTCCTAACTTCCGCGGGAGTATCATTTTGAATCGTTATTGTTTTTTCCCAAATATTTGAACTTTGTCACACTTTCAAAGGATTTATTATCCACCTTAATGTCTCTCGCGTACATCGCGGCGTCCGCTACGACGTGGCTGGTCGCACTCTGCGTCCCACCCCGGAGAGTGACGTAGCTGGTGGGATATTTCGGGTTTTTGATAGGTTTTCTCAGGGATTCTTCATAAGCTACGCGAATCGGTAGGCATGGACTCGAGTCTCATTCGGTGTCACGGCGAGTTCATAACCTGCGTGATCGCTAATCTACAAATGTTGATCCCGCGTCACACAGTCCAATCCTTGATCCACGGCGCATACTTGAAATGGATCCCTCGCTCACCAATGGGCTTTATACTCGTGGCCTTGTTTCCGTCGGTCTCTCGACACGCAGATGCTGACATGGGATCGTATCGCTCGGTTCATCCCTGGCTTCAGAGTCCTGTTCTGTCCTGGGTGTGACGTCATTTACTAACCCACGTGGTATTACCACCTGATCGGGGCAATGACCTCCTGGTCGCCGATGAAGTAAGCCATCTTTGTCAAGGTAATACTGACCTTCGTCAAAGCTATTTCTACAGACAATCTGACAAAACCTGTCGCCACGTTTTCCCGACTCAAGGGGTCGTTTTCCAGGGTCACGACGTGTCGACTTAGGGCGTCTACATGCTGGATAAACTTTCCTGGGCGGAATTCTGCTGTGAAATCAAACTCCGCTAATCTGAGAGACAATCTCATTAACCGGGAGTTGGGTGTCTCAGAATTTCTTTAGATAAAGCTCGATGGTCAGATCGGGCTACGAACTGACGTCCATATAGATGGCTTCGGAAGTGACGTGTGGCCCACACTAGACCTAAAAGTTCTAATTCACTAGAGCTCAATATCTGTCCGTGTTCGTTTAACTGTCTAGAAGGATAGGCTATGGGTCTTTCTTTCTAGCCTTTTCAGGAGTAGAACTGAAAATCACCAAGTCATCTATGTGACAGTAGACCTCCCTGCCTATTAAATCTCCCAATACTTTGTCCATCAGGGACTGAAACATCGCACAAACCAAAACATAAGCGATTATATTCATAATGCCCAATGGGTACTCCACTCGCAAAAATCCACTGAAACAATCAGCACCATGCCACCGCGGGAAATGCCTGAATCTTGGTCAGTGCATTTAAACCTCTAAAATCCGTGCACATTCTCCATTTGTGTGCGCCACCCATACTCCTTTTTGGGGTCAATATGGCGGGGCTTGTCCATGGACTATCTATCACTTTCACGTATAATAACTTTTTCCAACAAATCTTGAATTTACTTTTTCGTAACCTCTCTTAAAGCTATCTGTACTGTTAAAAACGTTTTACAATATCACAGGTACTTATCTTATATAAGAATTACTAAGTAATCTGTTGTTGTGTTAGTTTGTTGCGTCATACTATGTATAAGATGGATAATTACCTTACCTAACCTTACATTACATTCAGCTACCACAGACCCATCTTAAGCGTAACTAATTCAAGTTGATTAAGCAATGTCTTAATCAAACTTTACTCAATGGTAAAGCAGGTATAAAGGAAATATTTAGAATAAAGCCAATATATAAACTTCCTTTCCATATAGACGTATTTACGTCAAATTCTCCGGAACCGTGGTTCCACTGACAACTTTTTTTTCTAATTATATTTTCTACGTGGAACCATATTTATGTGGGCTTTCACTTACTGACGCTCATTCACATGGACGTTGTCTCAATAAAGATTCCTAGAGCATTTCATCTTGCACGATCATCGTTGTATCAGAACGTAATGTACTTGCAGTAGAAGATGTTTAAAAGACTGGAAATGTGCCATCCATACAGGTATACAGTTTCCAAGCGCGATCTTAGCAGAATTCTCCTAGTCCCTTTGCCGTGCCTGGTTGTACTCCACTACAGTATTCTCACAAATGCTGTATACAATCAAACCAGCAACTGGCTCTTAATCGGTTCATGCACAGAATACATTTCTGTAGCTCTGTATTTCCATATCGATTGCTGGTAAGAAAACGAGCACAAGAGACATGAAACATAACACAAAACCAAAGTCATTTGGCATATAATCTGCTTCAGAATCGATAGACAACAAAACATAACTAAAGGCTGATTATGACCTCAAGATGATGAACAAGAAATGTATCGATACGTGCAGCAGACTAGACCAGTGAAACATGCACATCTTTTCAGTGCTTTTTCTATTAACCTTTATGAACCCTGTACAATCCAACTGGCCATGCATTACACTAACACTGAATTAAAGTCTGTCCAGCAGCTTTATAGTGTGGGAGTTTATATGTCTTATTTCGTGCAATAAATTTTATGTTCATAATTTAACACGGTCCTTTTCCTTATAAATTTATATGTATTATAATTGGACCTCTAACCCTCCCTAGAAAGAAGCTTCCAGCCCACTTGGGGGGCCACATCACCGGTTGTTTGTCTGGCTTATAATGCTACATGGATTTGTAGGCATCACAACCTATAACAGTGATATCTTAACCAACAAATAACCTCATATCTCTCACGTACCATGACCACTTCCTTCTATGTCTTGTCACATCTCATTCAATATTGTATAATTATAGCCTACAATTAATGAAACATTTCAAAATAAACCAACCTCCTTTGTCAGGAGACACTGGGTTCAATCTCAGTTGAAAGACCAGCTAACCTGTGACTGTGTGGTTTTCCTCAATTCCTCCAGGCCGATACTTAAGACATTCTTAAAATAACCATGGCTGCTCCCTTCCCAATTGGTAATCATCCTGTTACATTCATTCAACACTAAACAGCCTACTCAGTTGACAAACACTGTTAAATAAATCAAGAAGCAAAAGATAAACATCCCAGGAGCAGAGTTCATATCTCAGTAGGCTCATAATGTCAACTGAAGAGGCTGGATTCCGGTGAACATGCTTTTGACACTGAAAAGAAACTGTTATCTCCGAAGTTTATCTCATTTTCAACACAGATACCACTGTCATATCACATTTTATGTTCCACTAGGCTGCACGGATAATGGTAAAGGACCGGCTGCCTGAGCTCCAACTGGTAAGGATTAAAGCACTAAGCCCACATATTTTTAAATATGTAATAAGTAAATTATACTTTTTATTTGAACTCTTCACTAACTACACCACATAAAAGATCTAAAGTTTATATATCCGACGTGTGTAGCATTTAGAAATGTCTCAAAATCAAGACAACCAAAGCCTAACATACAACTGATTGGTCAGGAGATTTGAAAGCATTTTTTTTAGTTAACCATGCTGTTAATATTTGTAAGCTACAATGTATAACAGTACATTATAAACTATCTAATTACATCTCTTGGTATTTTACATAACACACAAAATCAGGTGTTTGACCTTATCATGAGCTAGTTCATCTGAAGATACAGTCCAATACTGCCTTTCCACCTTTAACTTCGTGAAAATGTTTCCCAGAAGGTTCTGTATGTTTCCTCTTGCCCCACTGTAGCTCAACTTAACCTCAAAATGTTCAAGGTCAACTACTGTAATAACATTAACAGATAACCAAACTAAACAGGCAGACATCACATAGTATTCATCATAATATATCCCTCCCTTTCACATGTTTCTAGACACCAATGTTCCAATATCAAAATGTAATTCTTTAATACCTTATGGAAATTACATTATGTATGGTCTTTGCTGATGTTGCTAATACATATATTTTTCCAGGCTCTGCACTCCAAGAGCTACAGTGTAGATAAAGTTTGTATTGATTTAGCCAAGAAGTCAAATGAAATCACTCAGTTCCTTGACAAGGTCAGTTTTAAACAGCCTGGTTTCCATACTGCAATATTATAGGCAATTTCTTGACTCTGGTAAAATGCTGACTAACAATCACCAATAAAAATTACATGCATGCGAGCAACTTAATTATCCTCTATCATCTGCAAATATTACTCAGCATTAAATGAGAGGAGAGGATGCTTACACACATTAAATTCAAATAAAGGTATAACACAGTGCTCTGAGCAATACATATTCCTGCTTCGTGTTTTGACAGTTGTATTACGACTTAATTACTTCTGAAGGTGAATCAAAGAATATTAATCGTCATCCTCACTGACATGAGAACTTCAAACACAGGAACATCATGTTTCTCTCCCTACTTAAAATGTCACTGATTAATGTGGGTATAAATTTTGTACATGTAGGTGGAGAAAATTCGAATTGAAATTGACAACATTAACACCAATACTGAGGAAATTAAGAAACTCAACAGTATCATTCTTTCATTACCTCGAGGCAGAGCTAGTAAGTAATGTAGATTTTTCTTTATCTACTTAACACAGTTCTATCCAAGCATAGAATATGTGTTGGGGATATTTAACCTATAAATTGGGAGACTGCAATATATAAAAATGAAGTGCAATCAGAATTATTACAGTTGTTTAAAAACAAAACTTTTTATATTGTCTTCATGTGTACTGCCTATTTTGAAGCACGTGTGAATGGGAATGCGTGAATACCAGGAGTTTGAGAAAGCACACGCAAAACTACTTTTTAAAAAAATTAATTACCAAAGTGCAATAAAACTTCAAAATATTTTTTCCCTGAACTTCTAAAAAGTAATAATCTGTCAGAATAACTAACTCTGAAAAAATTCTGAATGTCAGTGTGGGGCGAGACATTGATTCCATTTCAGTTATACAAGAAAGATAATTTACTGTGATCCATCTCGACAGAGGACACTTGCGAACGAGTAGATTCCAAAGTTGACAAAAACTAATTTGCATGTGTCCCAGTATTTTGTGTGTTGGGCCCTGGTTCCTGAAATCTGAAATATAAGCTTCGAAATGTCTCCCTTTGCTATGTACGCAGAAAAGGTGCTTTTATGGTCAAGAGACATGGTAGCCAAGCAATGAGCTTGCAGATATGTACTGTGGGGGAGGGGGGGTCCTGGATTTGATCCTAAATAATTTTTTTTTGTATCAGTAAACTTTTAAGAAACTGTGATGAATCACGTACGTAAATTTGTTCTTTGCGTAATATGTCTGTAAATACACATCTCCAGATACCCATTTGTGTCTGATGTGTATAAGTTTGTTGGATGAGTTGTAAAACAATTCATGAAAATATTAAATAACATCTCTGATAGAATGTATTCAATGAGTGCTTTTCATTTCTTGAAACAGTATTGGTCATCTAGGTTGTAATGCCCTGAAAAACACTGGTATCTACCAACAGGCCCACATGGTGTTACAACCCGGAACATCGGCAACACAGATACGCTTTCACAGTTTCTCTTTCGTATCATATTTTGTTCATGTTTCTAGCATTAATTGTTGCAAAGTATCAAAGCTTTAAAAGCACAACATAACTTTACAGACATACTACATTACATCATTCACATTGTTCCTTAATGCCAATTTCATTAGACGGATCACAAACGTAAGAGGTTTGTTTATGATTTTGCAGCAAGCAATTCAGGAGTCGAAGACAGAAAGGGATTCATTTCCCACACCATAATCCAGGTTCACAGCCATATCAAAGGTGGGTAAAATGTAAAATGAGACACACAGATCTGATGTAGTAATATTCTCATTTGCTTCAAGATGGTTTAATACGTATACTGTCATTATTTTCAGAAATAGAAAGAACTGTAGAAAAAGACAAAGAAACACCAATCGAAAACTTACCAACTCTTGCGAGAGTCAAAATAATCCAGCACGCGACCTTGGTATCGATGTTTTCTGAAGCGTTGAGAAACTACAATGAAATGCTTCTGAAATATCAAGAAAGGTGTAAAGCAATTGTACATCAGCAGTTAAGAATAAGTAAGTGTATTCAAATCTGTTCCGATCGTTCAGAAAAATTACAAAACACTTAGCAAGAAATCTTGACAGTGTGCATTTTGTGTTATTTTTGTTATAAGTATAGATAAATAAGACGCTATAAACATAAGAAGAAACAAATATAACTTTAAAAAATATGACACGTTTCAACTAACATTGCCATCAGATGGTACCTTTTTCAGCACACCTTTGCCACTCTCAGGGGTTATGTTTTTGAAAACTCCCACAAACAGCAAAAACTGTAGCGCGAGTTCAGATCTTATGGGAAAAAGACAAACACAAAATATGATACATAATGTCCAATTAATGATTAATAAACGTGGAAACAGTAACGTTGATGTTCATTGGGACGATATCGATGTCCCTGGCTGAAAGATGACGGAACACAAGGGCAACAAACAGGACTAAAAATCAGGAAGTACAGCCACAGTACACTTGGTATAGCACAATACCTATCTAGCTACTGGAGACATGTGGGCTGTTGCGTGTTACTCTACGCATCTGCACAAGAGCAACCACGAAGGAGCTCGGGACCTATGCCACAATGCACAAATATTACCACAGAAAGTTTTCCGCAAATCGGCAAAACTGTCGTGTACAAACCTATGAACAAAGCGTCTGCTCCTTATGAAACATACTTCAACAGTATCCTTACTGAAATGAATTGCTTTAATTCTTGGTTTCACAATAATACCACACAATCATGGGCATGTACACTAGTGCTATGTAGTGGATCTGCATAGTGTGATTCCTTGTTGAAAAACAAGTCGAAAGTAAAAAGGAACGTATGTCCTGTAATGTTTAGTTTTCATGATACACATTACCTTCAAACGGTGCAAGCTATCAGATGATCAAACCATGGCTGTTTCGTAGTTACAATAGATGTATGAAGTCGCCTCCACCCATTTCTCGGCTGACATCAGCGCGCCGCATGGCATCCTCGAACACGCCTTAACATATTTGCACTGACTGTTGTTACAGTCGCTTGAAGTCTTGCCACGAAATCTTTGATAGTCCTGGTAGGGACTGCATAAACGTGCTCCTTCAGGTGTCCCCACAGGGAAAGAAATCTTTCGGAGTTACATATGGCAACTGTCCAATCGACCTTCCTGGATATGTCATGTTCAACCACTGCTGGACGTCTTCCCCATACTGAACTGGAACTCCATTAACCTGAAACCACAACCTCTGCCTTACTGCTAGAGGCACATCATCAAGCAGCCCTGGTAAAACAGTTTCCAGAAAATCACGATATCATTCAGCAGTGAGCCTGTCAGGTCACAGATAGGGGCCCACAACATTGTCTCCAATGCCAGCCGAAATGCTGAAGCAGACTTCATACCTACGTTCACAGAGAGAATGAGGATTATTCCGTGCCCAGGGATGACTGTTGTTGAACACATCCTCATACTTTGTCTGTCCACATAATGTTGTGTAAAAAGCAGTCATCTGCAGCGTGTTGACGTAGCCATTTACAAAATTGCATCCGTAGAGGGCGATAATCTGGAAACAGATGTGCGCTCCGCAAGTAGTGACATGGATACGATTGTTTGTCGTGAAGTACGATGAGAATCCTTGGTCGGGACAGTTCCATTTCTTGTGGAATATCACGTGAGATTCTCCACAGCTCTTCATCCCGACCTGTAAGTATGAAAATTTCACTGGGTGGTGTCCGTACACTCTGTGGGTTACTTGCATTCATGTGCTGTATGTGGTGATACACGTCACAGAGATGCTGCTTCAGTCATAGAAACACAGCGTCTGGATGACTTCGACAAGGATAACAGCACTTATTCCCATGCAGCAGGACCAGCATCACTATTACAGACAGTGAGATTTATGAGCATGTCACAGTATTCATCGTGTGTGTGTGTGCGATGATATTCGGTCACAACTGAGCCCTGCTGTGCAAGGTGTCTTGAGTATGTATCATCATTACAGATAACACTGCTGATAACTGTGTTACCCCATTTTATGGTGATGTGTATATAAAAAACTAAGCATCTCGCCACATACGTTGTATAACATTTTTGACGTATTTTTTAACAAGGAATTACACTATGTAGAGTTTATGCACAGATTTCGTTTCATTCTGTATATAATGCACTCCATGGTACAGTGCTCAGGTAGTTAGTTAATGGAAATTCACTGTTTGGGAGAGTCAGCAGTGGAACCTGATGATTCGGTACTGATATCACAAGCATAAACCATGGATATTATTGTGAAACATTTATATCCAGATCAGTTTTTTGTAAAAAGATAGGGATCTTCTCGATCAGTTGAGTGACTATCAGGTTCATGAAGGACTTTGCCCCATGGAGTTATTTAGCTGATGTGAGAAATAGAATATTTTGAACTGGAGTGACTGTGAAATGAAGTAAAACTGTTTGTTTCTCTTACGCAGTTGACAAAGCAGCCACAAGTGATGAATTGGAGGATCTGTTAGAGAAAGATAAAGCAGCTGTGTTTGTAAACAATGTAAGTTTTCAACAACAAAAATAAAAACAAACACAAAAACATTGACCTGAACTGACAGAGAGTATAGAAGGATCTGTAAGTCGTATAGAATTCAGAATATCCATACATCCAAGATATCTCCAGAGTTTTCAAGGTATTTTCTTTAAAATGAAGCATCCTAATTCAACATATGTTTCAATCTGGTGATAAAAAATACAGCCATCCCTCTTATGATCATCGTACCTCTGTTCCATCTCCATATGTCAACTCACACACCATCTCATATACAATTTCTAAAAGTTTCAATATTATATCAGGTGTTCTTGTTAAACACTTGTCAATATCTACTAAGGACTGATTTCCTTGAAGCACTTCTCTAGATGTATGTGCACGTGCATTATCTTCATTAATAACAACAATATCATTAATAAAAATATTAAACAGATATGGACTCAAACTACAACCCTGTCTTACACCTAATCTTTGTCTAACAAATTCTGTCACCGTCACACCTCACACGTGGCTTGCAGGCAGAGAGTGGTTCATGTCAAGACAGAGATCGCTCGTGAAATAAATCTTAGCAGAATGAAGCATCGACAGAGAAACATCATCTTAATGCTAAAGAAGTATCTTATGTTATCTCTTCTCCAGATTGTTGCAGATACCTTGAAGCCCAATTTGCTCTGTCAAGTGTAAAAGCAAGACATGAAAAGTTACTGAATACTGAAAGATCTGTGCAGGAAATAAGGGACATATTTGTGCAGATGGCAATACTGGTAGACACACAGGTACAACAAGCAATGAATGCTTGATATATGCTTCTATCGTTTACAATAATTTGTGTAAAAGCAGCAATACAAAATTGAGTTTACTCTCGCCCCTAAATCAATGGTTAATTAATTATACTTCATGATGACTTCTAAATAATCCACCCCTTTCATAAAATGTTTAAGATCATTAGGAAATTGGAGTAAATAACCTGAATTGATTCAATACTGCGATTTCTCTGACAGGGCGACAATATCAAGAGAATAGAATTCCATGTGCTAAAAGCCGGAGGATGCACCGATCACGGTAAAAGCCGGCTCCAGAAAGCACGAAAAATAAAAGTAAAACACAGAAAGGTACGCTTAAAAGCTTTTAAACATCAAATACAAATACATTTTCAGTTTTCACAGCACTGAAAATTTCGATTGCGCATGAGTTTTGATTCTTTGTGATCTTGGTAGTTGGCAAATTTCAAGGGAGTCTACTGGCCCCACCCTTAAGGGTATAAACTTTTATATAAATTAATGAGCACACTTTTCAACCAGGTTTTCGTTTTAAACTGTTCTTAAATAATAAAATTATGTATTTATTATGAAAATATTATAAACATATATTCCCACTGACCAGTATTTACCACATTTTGTCTTCCTGTCTAAAGTGTAAAGAGTAAGATGAAGTCACAAGAGGATAGAGAAAATATCATAATTAGGAGCTTCACAATTTATATTATATTATTGGGGTAAACAAATCAAGGATGGGATGGGCAGGACATAGCACACGTGGGAGGGACGACAGATGCATACAAAATTTTAGTATGGAAACCCCAAGAGAACAGACTGCTTGGGAGACCAGGCATAGAAAGGAGGATAATATTAAAGTGGACTGGATTCACCTGGCTCAGGATAGGTACCACTCTTGTTAATCACTGGGTTCCATAAAGATGAGGAATTTCTTGACTAGCTAATTGACAAACACTTTCTCAAGAAGTACTTTGCTCTGTGGAGTTGGTTATAGTTTCGGTACAAAACCTGAAATGTTCTCTCCTGTTCCCGCTCCAATTTTATAACTGCCATATTACCATATGCTAGTAACACGTTCTCACCCTTCTCTTGTTTCAGACAAAACTTTTCTTCTTGGGTGTCTTCATATTACTAATTGGATGTGTTATAATTCTACTCATTATATAAAGAAAAAGAACAGCACCATTATTTCATGTATACTGACATACAATAAAAATACATGTTTTAAAGTCGTAATAATTTGATTGCTATTCGATGTTTTATCAATAATAGTAGGTTTAGTTTCAGTTTTCCAGTGCCTTACTTAGAGGAACCCTTAATACTGTTAATGTCTGTTACCAGAACTGATGTAAGTGTACAGGCATAGAAATGAGGATCATTACAATTACGCATCCCACGTATGTATTAAGAAGAGACACGCATGGCGCATGCACTAACGGAACTTCCCGCGTTCTCACATTAGCATCGTTACAGCTGTTGAAGATGGAGGTTCTTGTTCCAGCTCCCGCCGACTGTGAAGTGCGGTCAGTGATAACGCTAGGCCGCACCCGGCTCGACGGACAGCAAGTCTCCTGCCGGAGTTCAGCTGGGAGGTGTTTAATCATCCACCCTCCAGCCCGGACCTCGCTCCCAGTGATTTCCATCTTTTCCTACACTTCAAGAAATTCCTGTCCGGTCAGCGTCAGCGTTTTGAGAATGACAGAGAGGCGGAGATGGTTGTCACACAGTGGTTCCAATCCCAGGCGGCAGACTTCTACGACACAGGTATTCAAAAGTTGGTCCCACGGTATGACCAATGTCTCAATTCCGGTGGCGAATATGTTGAAAAATAGCTGGACACTTGCTGTATCTGTTGCGATAAATATTTTCATGAAATTGTGTTTTGTTTCTGTAAACGGCCCCAGGGAAACTTACTTTTGGGACGCGCCTCGTATATGTGTAATTTGAGGGAAAACATGAAATAGAATTGACTTTTCCAAGTCGTTGGACCAGATTCCATGGCAAAATGAAGGCCAATACTACAACTACGCTTCGGCGTCTGTATGAATGGGTACCACAGTAGACTGGCATTGATTCGAAAGTTAAATATGAAAATCAAGTGGTACCAGAATATGACGGCTGATAAAAAATATCCTGGACATCATTTATAGAAGGAAACGTAAGCATCTACAAATTACTGGAAGTTATTTCCTCCAAATTATATGAAGGGATCTTTCTGACCCTCATAATTCACCATTCCCTATGTTAACACAACAGAATGTGAATACGTTAATTATAGCCAATTTCATGCAACTTGTAACATTACTTTTATTTAAATTGTTTAAAATCAAGAAGATACCAATAAACATTATTATTTGAAATCAGAATATAAAACAAACGATTTAACATAAAAATATATAATATCCATAGACTGAAAAGAAAAGACAGTTCCCTTCAATGAACACAGGATCCAAAAATTATGTTCCTAATGTCACTTTCCTACTTATTTCCCAACATATACTTAAATATAGATATGGTAATATTCTTTTTCTTCTTCCTTGGCTCTACAACCCAGTTGTGGGTCTTCGCCACCTCCAATTCGGGGGTTTTCCTAGTCTTCGAAGTGTGCATTTGTGAGTAGCGAGAGACACGCCCACTGCCTCCGCACAATTTCTACTCATCCTGATTTCACTGCTAGAGCGATCTAGTAGTGAATCAGGAGAGACTTGGGTGAGAAACGGCCGATGAATTTTGCTTACGAAACATCTCGTTCATGCTCGTAAGGTTCTTTTACATGCCGTAAATCCACGACATGGGACCGCCAGCTTTACTTCCCCTCTGAAGGAAGTTGTGCTACAGATTTTTATCACCCTTAAAAATCCATCGACCTCGGCTAGGTTTGAACCCGCGAACCTCGGGTCCAGTGGCAAGCATGCTAACCACTAGTCCACTGATGGTAACATATGACAATATTCTGGTGATTTAAAATGAAACATTTCATCAATTTGGTATCTTACTTTAAAAACAGATAGAGTGGATATACTTTACAGTGAAGCCATGTCTTTTCAAATAGTAAATATGTGAGAAGTTAAAACACACACACACACACACAAAAAGTTATAAAAATGTGAATATTTACAAGGTTTCCAACTGCTCCACAATTTCTTTAGCACTTGGTCGTTTCTTGAAATCTTCCTCAGTGCATGAATTGAAGAGCATTATCACTGGTATATATTCTTCACCCAGTGGACTGTCTGGTAATGGTGGTCTAGTCCCTATGATATCCAATAGAACAAGATATGTGTAATAGGAAACTAATCTTGCAAATCTTTCAGTGTATCACCAATGAGCCTTATAAAGTATATAGCATTCTGATTTCACAAACGACATCTCATTTTTGGAGGTTTTGTTTTCAGAATTTAACAGGAATGATGACACAGCCAATACACAATGATTTCTTTCATATCTTAACCCCCTTTCTCCTTTTCCTTTATTCATATCATATATGATCCATACAACCAAACTCACCTTTCTCTCTCTACTTTCTCTCCCTCTCCCACTCTCGCCCACGTGCTACCATTGGTCCACTCCCATACCTGCTACCATTGGCTCGGGGCAGGCTACACCTTTCACCTCCCGGCCTATAAATCCAGATCCTCACACCCTATTGGCATATTCATCGCCCTGATGACGGAGGCAGTATGACCTCCGAAACGTTGGTTAACATCGACCAGACTACACAGCGCAATAACCCAGAAGACGGATATCTTCATATCATAACTTTATCTCCTTCCATACTCCTCTCTCTCCCATTCTCTTTCCTTCATCTCCTTCCCTCCTTTCTCATGTATTTCTTTCCCACCCCATCTCGGTCTCATCAGCCCTTCTCACCCTTCTTTGTGACCACATCCCTCTCTTTAATTCACACATCTACATATCACATCAAATTACCTCATTGCACACTTACCACATTTCAGACCAATCATGGCAGACACAGATGTGTCTGGTGATGACATGAAAGATGTATCATCAGATGCACCTTCCTCTGCCACCTCAGATGTATCAACTTCTTCCACTGATGACTCATCACAATGTGGTGTTCTGAGTGTAATCATTTCCCATAGTACCAGACCAAATGAAAATATATCAGCTTTGTTTGTAATAGGAGTTGGACCATCACTACACACTGCTTCAGGGGCTGCCCAGTTAGAGGTACCAATATATTCTACATCTGCATCATCAGTATCTAATACGCCGTCTGCGTTCAATGGCACCGAAACACCAAAGTCACACAGCTTCACTATTTCAAAATCACCTGTGAAATCAGAGTAATGCAATTAACATATGGACATATTTGGAAGAATTCTTGCCATTACCAGTAGCAGTTTTACCCTTTCTTCGTATTCAATACACAAAGTGAGCAGCTGCTAAGTCTGACATACTGTCGTAATTCAGAGTGAACACTTTCTCCCTTTCCTCAGTAGTCTATAATATTTAGAAAATGATGTGTTAAAACCGCACCTGTAAAATCTATTGACAATGTTGCGTAGAACTGCTTGCAAGATTAAATTTATTTTGGGCTATTAAATTAAAATGTAATAACTACAAAGATTACTTAGCACCAAAAACAGCTGTAAGAAAGAGTAGGAACACCAAGAAGAAATACACAGTTTTCAAACTGGAAATTAAATCTTTGTTGTGGCATTAAGATTTACTGATGCTATCAGACTGAGCCGACTATTCGGCTCTGAAGTTGTAAGGACGAAACTTCAAAAGAGGTGCGCATGCGTGTGGGGAGGTTAGGCCGGTTTAGGATGGGGGTTGATTTGGGCTGACCTCTTCTCGCCAGCACATGGACGAGCACTCAGGCTGTTGCTACGGATCCAGTCGGCAACGTTCTCTCCAGCTGGGCACTCCCTTCGAGGTGACCTCGGTTTGTATTTGTTTTCACGTTGTGGTTGCCCGTCCGGATAGGTATCGATTTTGTTGTGTTGGTGGACGGGGCAGCCACCGTGTTTTTTGGGTGGTCTCCTCGGGGTGGTCAAGGCCGGGGAGACGAATTGGAGTGTTACCGAGAGCGAGTTGTGGGCTTTTCATGTCCTTATATGTTTTGTTTGTAGTAGGGTAATCAATGACCCCGTGTATGAATTATAATTTGTCTTAAGAAAGTAAATGATTTTGTTTCTAATTGTACATTGCTGTGTTTTGAGTACATCCTTTTTCAGGGGCGTGGGCCAAGTGAACCAACGACATATATGGTAATAAAATCAAACATAATTACATGAGAAATTCATTCAGAATTTAGAGAGAAAAAATTGTAGGGAAGAAACTATTTCAGAGATCTAGATATAAAGGAAGGACAACACCAAAATGGATCTTAAAAAAGTAAGATCTGAGATGTGGACTGGATTCAAGAAGGACTCTGCTCCACGAAGAACACTATTTTCTATAGACTGGTCAGGGAGTGGCATATAACTGGGAGAGAGCTGGGAAGTATGTCTGAGAATGGTTCACATCATGTTCCAGCAACAGAACCAGGGCTGTGGAGTCAGTACATGAAACCTCCAACTCCTTCATAAAAGCTCAATATGTATTAATAATGGTAAACCGTAAATGGTACTATAAGAGATTTCATCATCACCACGTGGATCATCAGCCTACTTTTTAGACTTATAACCGATATTTAAATATAAGTCATATGGTAATTGCAGAAATCGGTTGATTTGTAGACAGTTTGTATTCTTAAGGTAACAGAGCCAAAGTCACAAAGCATTTTTCCCACACCACGTGGCTCAACGCGTCCTTGAATCTCCATAAGCGTGAGGCTGCCGGCAGCTCACATGGTAGCGAAAGTGTTAAAAGAGTATTTTCTTAATATTTTATATCGGAGTAGGTACATTTTTTACCAACTCTGACCACTTAACATTGCTTTCAACTCCGACTCCACAGCCCTGAACAGAACAATAATCAAGCTGAATATCAGACACAATGAAGTACACATAAATAAGACAATTGTGTTCAAATAATACTTCATTATTCTTTGTAACTGGTGGTTAGATATGTTTAATGTCATTCATAATTTCAAATTAATTTCTTCTGCCAGAACGAGAGTCCCAACCAGGGTAACCTGGAACTGTCCAAAGTAGAAACATTTTTAAGAGAAACGTTTAAATGCGTCCAAAACGCTGACTAAATGCAATCCTGACACAGGAATATTCAACACTGATAAAAAATTGACATTATTTTGTGACACTTTTATATAATGGAACTTGCAAATGCCACTGTGTGATTATAAAGTATGCCTATCTTTGCCCCTAGTCTATGTTTACTTCCATTCCACACACATCATGAATGCAATATAGTATAATACATGTAAGGGACCATTAGTGTCATCACATTCTACTGTACATGACTGAGTGACATTCATAAATAGATACACATGTACGCACCTTTCACAAGGATATTCAGAGATTTAATATCACCATGCAAAAGATGGCACACTCTGTGCAGATAGTCGAGTGCTTTTCCAATGTCCAAAGCAACTTTCAGAATCTTCTCAGCTTGAAATGGTCCTAGGCCGTCTTCAGAACGCATCTCGATCAAATCAGCAACAGAAGTGTCACACTCTTCCATTGCCAGGCAATCTCGGCCATCCTCGGCCTTAACAAATGCACGAAAGCCCACGATATTTGGGTGGTTTAACTTCTTTAAGATGTTGGCTTCACTTGTCAGTCTTTCTGAATAGGTACTACCCATGTAAGTGTGAAATACTCTTTTAACTGCCCAAGGAGATTGATACATACCGACCTTTGGGGAACGTTTCATTCTGTATACACTTACACCTAAAAAATAAAGTACAAAGTTCATGATAAAATTATTGATTTAATAATATTGCTACAAATGATCAAATTTCCTACATTTGCCAGATACTAGAGAAAAAGTTGGAGTACAATAGGACAGTCTGACAACGATTTATAGACTTCAAGAAAGCCTATGACTCAGTTGAAAGAGAAGCTCATTACAATATTTTGTGTGTAGGTAAACATTTGTCCAACACATTTCCTATTCGGAATGACCTGAAACGGGGAGATGCTCTATCACCACTGCTTTAAAATTTTACCCTAGAATATGCCTTCAAACAAGTCCAAGAAAATCAGGTAGATTTGGAATTGAATGGGATACGTCAGCTTTTGGTCTATGCTGATGATATTAATCTGTTGGGCGATAACATAAATATTATAATAGCAAACATAGAAACACTCTTAAGGGCTAGTAGGGATGTTACCAAACAATTGTAAACTTCTCCAGAGGACAAATTAGTTTCCTTAGTATAGTCAATTTATGTTATTAGCACAAGGCCATAGCACCTGTTCTCAAAAAGGACATATCCACACCTCTTGTTTCATACATGAGACAAAGTTTAAAATGAAATGGCATTATGACTTAGAAAATATTAGAAACGCTGATGCAGAATAAGAACAGTTGGGCGGTCTTGTATAATTTCATACTATTCCATACTTCACTGAAATACAAAATTACCTGTGCCATAACCAAGTTTGTCCATTTGCGGCGACTCCGGGATCACTAGTTTATCACACTGCAATACACTTCTCAGTTTTTGCATTTCTGGAGTTTTGCATTGATCCATAATAAATAACGTAATATCAAATTTTAACTTCCTAAAATGTCAACACACCAACAGTTGAAACAACACCGCTCTTTCGATTTTTTTACATGAAATACGAGAATATAAGGAACGTACACAATGGAAAAAAAAAGACATTCAAAACCAAAGATGAAAAACAACTTCTTTCCTCAAACAACTAGCGCTTTTGTGTGAAAAGTTGGAAATGATAGATACTGCATTGCAGCTGGTTTCCAAGGTCGAACTTCCTCGAGAACATTGTGGAGGTTTGCAATATAGTCACTGTGGTTGATGGGATTTGTTGCGAATATTCATTTAACGTTCATTGTGCTGGCTGCGTTACGAGTTTTGAAACATTGATTTGTGAGGGCTGTTCAGCAACAGAAACAAATGTGTGATGTCTCTATTACTTTCAGTTTGTCAGCTAGGTAACTCAGGTCGGCTGCGGCAACATTGGATCGAGTAAATCTGTGGGAGTCTAGTGAGATGAAGGGCTGGAGTCAATTCAATGGATAGCAAACGAGATGATAATAGATTTTTATTGAATAAAAACAACCGTTCACTAACTTTATTCTACTCCTTTTTTTCATAATGGACCTAATTTCTATGTGTTATTATTGTTTCCAGATACATTTTGAAACAAGACGAATCAAACGAAAGATAAAATTGGGTTTTAAATATGGCATTAAAGAACATCATTTGTAATAATGAAATCTGTTCAGTGAGAAAATCTGCTTTTATAAATTCTGCCCAGAATTAATTGTCATTATTATTGTTACAACTTTTAACAATTATAAACTTTCATAGAAATTTATGATATAATGTTCATGTAAAATTAAGAATACAAAAAAATATCCACATTTTAACGTCTGGATTTTTGGTAAAAGGTGTTTTTCGATTTGGTGAGTGCTCAAAGTGTCAATCGAAAGTTTATCTATTACCAACCATATCATAAGAAAATTGAAAACAAATTCAGCGGAGTCTAAAATCATATTAATACACTAACCATGAATAAATCCTTGATCTAAAAATTATCTGGCATGTTAATATCTGAATAATGCTGTGCAAATTACAATAGTATTTATTTTTAAATAATAATATCACTTCAATATAAAAATATGAAACAGGTTTGGGTTTTTCTCGACGTCGCTAAGAAGTCGTACACATTCCGATGAAACGACAAGATGTACAAATCAAATGCATGAGCTAAATTTTATATTATGAAGCTACGTAATTAATGGTTTGAGGTCGCAAATTGGTAGGTTAAGGAACTTAATTAATAGTTTGTTATTAGTGTTATAAATGCCATAAAAAATTTACGATGATTATGAATTATTACTTGCAAAGTCAGGGGAATACTACTAAACAAATGAAATCTTGTAACAGATAAAGATTCGAATCGTGTGCCTTATAAAATGAGGACAAGCCAGACCTGCTCGCTCATATTAATCCTATGAAGTGAATGAGATTATCTAACGTCGGGTGATACAATAATTCAGTGAATAATTAATTTAAAAATACATAAAATTTAAGGCACAATCAGTATTTGCCTGAACTGAAGACAGCCACAGATAACCTCGGGACAGCCAGCCACCTACGATTTGTATAGGATGCGTGGAACATGGGAGATAATTCTGATTTTTAGGTTAAGAGGATGAAACAGAGTCTCGCTTTGTAACAGTAACGAACATTTCAATTAGAAAGTGACACTGTTTTCCTGTTATATCCGGTGTTTCTCCTCTCAGTCCGAGTTCACTATAATTAGACTAAACTGTAATATTTATTGACGTCAATAACCTAACAGTAAATGGTGAATTTGGTACGAACGCAGAGCCTGGTGTTGGCATAGTACATTCGTGATTGCAGTGGACTGAAAGTATAGGATGCAGCCATGAAACCAATACACAGGTAGCCATCTTATAGATGCTCAATTGTTTAGTGTTGGGCGTATTAATATTACAGTAGAACTTCACGCAATGGATTTTTAAACAAAGTGTTGTCTGGGCCCTAACGATTAACGGATTTGCAGAAAGAAACTTTCGTATAAATGGAAGCATAATTTTTTAAGAAAATATTTCAGCCGATCAAGCTGTCACAATGTTTTAAAGTCTAAATTCGGAAAAGTCAATGTGTGTGTACATAATCACCAAACGCGTTATAAGAATAACATGTACATTATCATGAGATGCACATCAATTATGTTCTATGAAACATACGTATTACTCTGGCATCAAAGTGTTTAACATAGTATGTGAGTTTAAAGACGACTGTCTTCTGGGCTATAACGCCGTGTAGCCTGGTAGAAGTTTACAAAATGTTTCAGAGGTCCTTGAGTCCTCGCCCTGATGACAGAGACAGGAAAAACCTCTGAAACGTTTGTAAACTTCTACCAGACTACACGGCGTTATAGCCCAGACAACCATCTTTAAATTAATTATAAAATTACGATGCGAAGTATGAAGATTTGTGAGCTTAATTAACTTAAGACCCAAATTGTTTAAAACAAAATATAAAATGAGGTAGTGTTTTTTCAAGTACGTCCTTTCAGATTTTTTAAACAACATATGCACCCGTGTTATTCCAGATACGTGTGTATTTTTATATGGTCAGATTAGGTTATGCGGTTTATAAATCTCTCGCCTTCGTGAAATCAGTTTATCTTAACTGGTGTCTGTTATATTACATCGCATTTTGCGTTACATGAAATATTACGTTGTCTTCATTGTTTCCTCAAAGGGATTTTGTGGTTAACTGTAGACACGAAACCATCGTCACAAAACTAATCACAGTGTAAAATGGCACATTACATAGAATCATAATTTATTTAAACATTCACAACATCGAAAAGTAATGTAATTGAGTTCCAAGTTTCGTTCCATGTACTACTGTTATTATATTTTACTTACAATGAGCCGTCTTAGCCCACACTTCGATCTGAACTTCACGTAAAACGTAGGAATCGTCGATAGATCGATATAAATAAAAACTCGTTTGCAGACTGACATTTAGTATCGACCGCACAATAAGAATCATAATCAGAGGCATCCTGCTACTGACATTTAGTATCGACCGCACAATAACAATCATAACCAGAGGCATCCTGCTGTGTGGTGACTTAACCAACACAAAATCCGTCCACACAGTTAACCTTATTTCCAAATTTATGCGTTAATTTCGTCCTCTACGTGTTTCGGTCCACTATGTGCCATCTTCAGGTAGTATCATCTTATATTATTTCTCGGAAGTAAAACGACCAGACCGTTCACCTCGAACAAGTGCCCAGGTTAAGACTGCACCACGGTTTGGTGTTTGACACCAGGACTTAATCGATCTTATTAAAATGCTGATTTTGCAGGTTGTGGTGTCTGTTGCTAATGGTCGCAGTTTCGTCGTCGGCGGAGGAGGACTGGATGCTTCACACTCCAGGCGGAGGGCCCCTGGAATCACGCTGTCCTTGCATGTCACCCGAACTCTGCCCTAGAATGTTTGGAGATTCCGAATATGATGTCAGACACTTCGGTCAGATCCCGATCTGCATGGACAGCCGGCAGATTAGATGCTGTGGTGCATCGTTCAGAGTAGAATTGTCGGAAGTTTCTGGTCATGGGGCACGATCCGGGCAGGAATACGACGTAGACGAGAGATCCAAGGGAAACAACAATCAGGCAGTTGAACAAACAATAACAGCACAACAGATGGTACCACAGCAACATGCAGACAGTTCGCAAACAGCCCTGAGTTTTCTTCCTCAACATCAACCAAAAGGCACCGTTGATTCTGAAGATTACATTGACAGCTTCAACAGAAGTGGAGAAATGAGAAGCACCGTTGATTCTGAAGATTACATTGATAGCTTCAACAGAAGTGGAGAAATGAGTGACGATTCCATTATTTCACTACATCATCCCAGATTACAGCAGCCAGAACATATTAGAAACACCGAACACCTACAAAAAGAGCCAGAGACAGATAGTTCAGGTTCATCAATTGTCTACCCACGGCGTACGGAAGGGAATTTTGACTCGACAGAACCGGAGGATGTATTTCTGGTGTATCCTTCAAACAGTAGCGAAAATAATACAAAAGCACGGAACACGAATATGACGGACGCTGCTTCGTTGTCGAGCAACATGGCTGAATCACAATTATTCGAGTCGGAAGACGATAATCGTGAGTATCTGATAGAAATTCCTATTTCCTCTGACACAGAACAAGCTTTCGCTGAGGCTGTTGGTATGCCTGAGAAGGAATATCTCGTCGCTTCCGGTAGCGAGTACAATGGGGTTCGAACACACAACAAAATGCAAGAAGATACTGAAGATGACGATGGTGATGATGATGATGATAATGAAGACGAAGTTAATGGTGACAAAATCGAGTCTCCTGTTCACGGACTGCATACACGGACGGAAATTATTCAAACCAAGCGACCAAATATTCCTAAAAGATCTTTCGTATCACAGAATCTCAAGATGAGAATATCCCAGTTAGCTACAGGAAGACGTAACCCAGCATCTGACGAAGTGCGAAGCGAGGATACTCGACATCTAACGGGCCCAAAATCCGGTCAGAAGCAGCCGGAAGTAGTTGCGAAGAGGCAGCGTGGATCCGCTCCGCTACTTTCAAAGACAATAACTCCGAATCGGTATACCCGTCCTGAAGCCAATAAAATCTTGCTTGATATATCAGTGGACAGAAAGGCTGTGAGATCACGACCTTTGGAACGATTACAATCAAACGCGAAGCCTTCGATGACAGCTGCTCAGGACATCACAATCGCATCCCATGCTTCAAAATCCCAAAATACATCTTCTCGTCATTTGAGCATAAATTACACTCATGGAATCACATCAGACATTGCAGACTTTCAAGTTCAAGATGGTCGCCTAAGAGAGGGGGTTGTTGATTACCAAGTGCACGAGATGGCATTTCCGAGACACAGGCAAATGCACTTGAAGAGAAATTCTGATTCTGTGCCAGAAAACACTGATTTGTTTACAGCGGGAGGTAATTCCACAATGGAGAACACTGTAATCCAACCTCCTAAAAGTAATCAGAATGAAATAGATGAGCACAGAAAACGTCCTGTAGTCAGAAGAAAGACTTCGGAAACAGCGCACAGAACTTTCGGGGCGAGGACAAAAACAAGGAACAGGCTATCTTCCTTCCAAAGGAGACCCACACAAGCAAATACAGAATCTAGTGCACCAAAATTTTCACATAATCAACAAACCGGCCATGATGTAACTGAA